CCAACGATTTGTTGTTCCCTCGGTTGAAGTGTGTTGCCTAGCGCAAGATAGTTGCGATCCAGAAAAAGACTCCCCTTGACTGGCTTGCTATGGCTTCCTGAAGATGTTGAGGGAAAGGAACATGAGCCTGCAATTCGATTGATCGCGGTTTTTTCTTCGCTGTCCTCCTCTCATCTCTGAGTCACCAACAGTTCTGCTGAACGCGAGCTTTGGGAGAACCTCAACTTCAGCTGCCAAGGTGATCTTGAACATGTCCCCAATGTGAAAGCTCACCCTGGTCGAATGCAGCAAGGATCGTGTCCGGCGCCGCGACCCATACGAAACTGGCAAATGTCAGGCTGCCACGAAACAAAACAGGAAAAATAGGCCAAGGAAACACTTTTTTGCACATACAAAGGCATTGTAGCGCGCCGTGCTCAAGGCCCTTCCCAGGCCAAAATGGTGCATGAAAACTACATTTGGCATGGCGGTTTTTGTTGCAACGTGCAATCCAGCATGACAACGGGGAATATACATGCAGCTAACAGTTGCCGTTGACGTGTGCACGTTGCACGGACTGGGGCTTGGGTGCGCAGGTAGCGCAGCAGATCGGAGAGCCGATGCCAGAACCGATGCCGGAGTCAATGAAGGTGGCAGAGCGTGATGCACTGCAATTTGTTAGGCGTTGAAGTGGTTGACAACTTAAACTAATCTTTGACACGTTTGCGCGACTGAGTTGCCAGGTGAAGCAGCACGCCGTACTTTCTCGCGGGTCCGGTGGCTGGAAACTGCATGTCGTATTCTTCCTTGCAACCAAAAAATCGATGCCCGGGACATCGGGTTCAGTTTTGAAAGATATGAACCTACATCAATCTACCTACGAAACTCACAATGTGTTTGTCACCTTCCGTTTTTTCCCGTTTGTAACTAGTTGGTTTCATGTATGTTGCCTGGTCCTTTTTGCAGCAAGAGTACTAGGGTGTACTGGGTGTAATTGCGGTGGTGGGTTTGGAAAGGTTGTGGGTGGTTTCAAAAATAGTGGTTTGCAGCAGTGGGTTCTAAAATGGTGTAATCTGGAAGAGTCCTGCGATGTTCTTGCAAGGATCTTGCACGTTTGGAGGGTTTGTTGAGGTTGAGGGGAGATTCCAAGTAAGAGGATATACTCTGGATGTCCGGTGTTTGAGAATGTGGACATTTCCTGTGGATTTCAGATATGTTAGATGAATTTGGATAAGTCAAGGGCACTGTTTTTACTGCCCTGCACAAGGCCAAAGCTGTGGTGTCAGCAGCGCTCCGCTCAGTTTCATGCATGAAGCACTTGAACAGGAGTGGCGTCGGCTCCGCATACTTCAGGTTCGATGCCCTGTTCCGCAAACGTGCCCTCTCAATTCGCTTGGTGCCTCAGACATTTCTGTGCATGCAGTTCTGTATGTCTTTGTTTTCTGCTGTTGTTTGCCTTTGCTTGTGGCTGCTTCAAGAGATGCCTCCTTCAACTTAATTATGGGGTTTGACTTCAATTAAGTCTTTACGACAGACACTGAAGTAGATGGTAAAGGCTGGTTGGGTGGTAGTTGAGGTCGAGACCGACGTGCTTGGGCGTCGCAACTTTTGCTTCCAGCCATTTTCGATTGAGACTCAGTGCTTGAACCATCTATCATTATTTGCACTTATTCAGCCGCGGCCATCCCTTGCATCCCTTGTTGCAAATCTCAACAAAAGACAGATCACGAAAGCTAGCACCAGCTAGCTGGAGTTGTCCTTGCTTTAGCAAGTGAGGGGCTGGAATCCTCGAGATCGCCGCATCACGTGAAAACTTCATATGTAGGGGGGGCCCCCCCCCCCCGGTGGGTTCAACTCCCCCCTGGGACGCCTCTGGGACACCTCTCGGGCACCTCTTATGGCATCCACTTTGGTTTAACTCCTCCGGGATACGGTGCAACAGATTCAACAAGCTCATAGGTTCGTAAACACATCGGATGCATCGAATAGTGTGGCAAAGTCCAGCCGCGCTTCTTTAATTATCGGGGACTTCAATTCTAAGGTTGGCTGTGTCATTGCTGTTTGTGTGTCTTACATGTTCACAACGTTTTACTTCATGAGCATTTGCCTCAATCCGCTTGATGTCCCACCAGTCCGGATGCACCCCTGCTAGCTTTCGTCACCTACCCTCGGCCTCAAGTATGAGAGACGTGATACTGAGGTGTTTTTGGCGCTCTTAATTGCCAGGCTTGAGCAACACTTGACAAAGAAGACAGATTAGCTCAATTGCATTCAATTGCAGCAACAGTCCTGCTATGTCGTGTGTGCATCAAGCGTGCAAACACATTGTGAAGACATGACACTTGGAAATGTGATGCAATATCAAGTGCTTTGCAAGTTTTGTCGTGGGTGATGTTCTGCTAGTTTCTGTCAAATGATTTGCATTGAATCTCGAGCCTCCAGCCATTTTATGATGCATATTACTTATTTAGGCATGCACGATGCAGAACAAAGTATTGAGTTGACATGTTGAAATTGAGATGTCCTGATGCATTGTTTTTCAGTCTCACAACAATGCGGGCAGATTTGCATGTGAGTGACAGACAGTTTCACACCGCTTATTGCGAAAGTGGAACATAGCTCCTAGGTGAAACCGAGTCAAAACAATGGCGACACAGCAAGACAAAAGCAACACTAAAGACGCACTTAAAGACGCTAAAGACTAATCGAAATAGTTCGAAATAGCAAAGATTGAATGCTGCGGAGCTTGGCCTTGCTGCTACCAGCCAACGCAGTGGCACCTTGCCCAAGGATGGCGTTTCTGCTTTTCCAGGGATGCCAGGAGTTTGTGGGCTATAAATCCTGAAGAATGAACAAATACAGAAGCCAACCCCAACCTAACCATACCTAACCTAACCTATACAACCTAACCAAACCCTAAACAAGCCAAAGCCAAGTAAGCCAGCCAAACCAAACCAAACCTGACCCTAAACACGCCACCAAACCAAACCTACTGAAGAAAATCCCGCCAAACCAAACCTATTGACGCTAAGCCAAAGTGAGGCCAGCCAAGCCCTCAAGCACTGCGGGCCCATGATGGCAATACAGCTACTAAAGCAAAAATGCAACAACCAGCAACAGCGATCCTTTTTCTTGAGCCAAATGACTTCGATACGAGGTCAATATGATACAAGTAAACATGGTGAACAACTATGTCAACATCGTATAGCAAAGAAGATAATCCTGAGGAGAGTTGGCATTTCACATTTGATTTCGCTGTCAAGTGAATGTAGCGACATTGCCTGAGGATCGAAACCGCAAAACCACAAGCCGAATTCGAAGGATGAGAAAGGAAAGACTTTGAGTAAGGTGGATGTTTGTATGAGCACAGAATCCCGAAAGAGAAGGAGAAAGAGAAAGGCAATCCCAAATTCAGGCAAAAAAATATCAATGGTGTGCACATTTCAAGAATTGTTTGGGATACAATGCGCCCGGATTTAAAAAGGCTAAACAGCCCTACAAGGACAAACCCCGCAGACGGATCCCAAAAAGACGGCCGAAAAGCTGAAAGCCGAACCCCAAAATCGGATGAAGACCAAATCCCGAAAATAAAAGCCCGGATCACCACTCAAATGTCTTTTATTTTAGCGCTTTTCGTGCTCCTATTCCTTCTTGCAGTCTGGCTGTTTGTAGGCCCCCTTCGAACCTTGACCGGCCATGCTGTTGGGCACGGGCCTGCAAAATGAATCCAGCATACTGAGGATTGGGGCATAGCAGCATGCCCACCCTTGCCAAAGGACATCAGCGATATGGACAGCACACTGGACCTGATGTCATGCATTCATGGCACCTTGGCTAACACGAAATAAGCAGAGACAAAATTGAAAGATTCCTCACTTTGCACGCTTCGTCACCCTGAGGCAAACAACGAGAAGCTTCAACACACTTCTACATTCGTCAATGGTATCGTCACATCGAGGAGATGGACTAAGACCTTATCCCCCAGCTGAGTTTCTGCGATCCCAGTCCTGCCACCAGCGCAGAATGAACTGCTCTCCGAGTCTATTCCTGCTGCTTTGCATTGTAGTTCCACCCACACCACAGGGCTTGAGGGAAGTGTAGGTTTGTTCGCAACAAATTAAGCAGTTGTAACTTCTGAAGCGTAGAGGGATTTGGAGAACCTTTGAACATCGTGCATCAAGATAATTTCATGATTAAATCGACCCGACGGGTGAGATTTTGTCCAGAAGATGAAGGCCCCCAGGCTAAAGCCAATGTTTGAACTCAAGATGACTCAAGTCAATCATACTCAGTTCAGGTCATGATCATGCTCAACCAGGGCCCTTCGCCAACCAAGCAGTGTGGGCAAAATTGAATAAAGCCAAGCGCTGGAGGTGTTGGTGTTACATTCGTTGGTGTGTTTGTGTGTGTGTCAGGTGTAATGTTTTGTTAGAACATAAACAGCATATACTGTAACTGGCATTCGTTCTCCACTCACATCGTGCCTGGGGACAACATACTGTTGGACGGACTATGGAGTTTTCGTAGGAGCTTAGCATGAGAGCCTTCAGATGCAAGCAAGACGAGCAGGTCCAGGCTGAAAAGTTTCAATAGTCGTGGTTTGACTTTCTACAACTCCGCCAAGTTGTCGTTTGCTCCGCTCAGGCGGCATTGCGCACTTTGGCACCTTTGGTTGCAAGAGTTTGTGTGACCTTTGAAGCAGCTGCAAGACATGTTCTATCAAATGAGTCCACAGAGTGCTCCGCCAAGTTCCATTTACATAGGAAGGCATCAGTCATCAGTGGTTGAGATCCGGATTGTGAATGATTCAAAATTCTAACCACACCACCCAGCGCTGCAGCATCCACGTGGGAGTGTTCAAATTGATGAGTTTCGAACGGACCAGGAGCTGGTTGACCGTGCGTTATGCCTCGTGAAATTCAAAGATTGCCTGGATCTTGAACACAGACGCTTGGCACTTTAGGACTTCACACTCTCAGGGGTGGACTTTCTGCACCAAGGAAGACTATATAGTTCTAGATTGAATCTCCAGTGATTCGCTCACTCAGCGGGCGCATTGATGCTCCTACGCCATCAGTCCGGAACGCCCAAAGTTTCCTTCGACATGTTTCTATATCAATACTGTATGTATGT